TATCAAGATATGTATCATAGGCAATGAAAGAAAAAATGCATAGAATTTGATTTCTTGGAATGTTAATCTCATCATCTACTTCAATAGAGGCTGACGATGTAATGACTTGATATGTTATTTGTAATGTATGATCTTATAACATCCATAATAATACTTGATAGATCTAGAACATTGTTTGCCAACAGACCATGATGCATGCAGGAATTTAAACTAGATTTTTAGCATAATCTGGAAAGGCAAACAATTGTGGGCATTCACAGCTCAGAATATCCCAGGCCCTCAGATTCATCACTGCCAATTTTTAATCCTCTTCGATTATACAGGGAATGGCGACGAGAAATTCCAATCGCAAGTGGTGGCATAGCAAGTTTAATAGTTCTAAACATCAAGAAAAGGTTAAAAGACCAGTACAACACTTATGTGTTGCAAGCCAGAAGAATGTTAACTTTATGTTAAATGATAGAATTATACGCCCTTCTGTCATGAATTTATAGATAGCACTCCTTGTCTGAGAGTCTCTACACAAACTATTACATTCATCTATTATAAGGTAAAATGTTTTTCAACAGTCAGAATACAGCTTGCATACATTTGATGGTGCTCTGTCAGTCAAACCTCTGCAGGTTTAAAGGTGATATACTAGTTACCATTTTAGTATATACAAAATGTGAACAATTTGAATAGATTAGTGAACTGGTCTATTAAAATGAATATACATGATAAATGACAGAGTGAAATTTAACCTAATCATTACAAATTAAATACATCATCAACTTAAATGCCCGTAATATAAAACACTCATAAGATGGAAAGGCAAGAAGAGAATGAAGGGAAAAAAAAGGGGGTACAATGGTCCTTAAAGGGATCATTTATCGATTTTAAATCTGAGATACATGGTCCTACATGTTACCAGTGTCTGTTATATGGTGAAATATTGAAGCTCTAAAAAAATCGCGCTTCAAGATGATCAAGAAGTGCCTCAAAAAAGTAAAAATCTTTGAGTGACCGGTTTTACCATACTCGTTTTCCCAAACAGACTGTAGTGTAATGAAAACCGTTTGGTGAACGGTTTTCAAAATTTGTAATTCCAATCATTAATATCTCGATAATCAGACAGGCGATCGGCTTGTAAAAGTCATGGAGTTCCCGACAGACCTAAAGGTTTATAATTATCATTGCAGCATGAGCTAAATCAAGAATTTTGTTTCAGAATGTGAGACAAAGTTACCGGATCCCTTTAACCCTTTTTAATCTCTATTGGATTGTGTGTTGTGTATGGGATAGGTCCTCGAGGGAGTATCAACTGATTGAATGTTCAAATGTAAGGATCAAACATTGCTATGTAGACACATGCCATGTCTTTGGTGAAAACATCTGAATTATTTATGACCACCATGATACTGTCTTGATCTATCCTCTTCTCCATCCATATTTCTTTGGTTCTAACAAATGAATAGTAAGTCCAAGAAATATCATGATTTAAACCCATCAGAAATGAGTGAAATGTACTTGAATGAAAATCTCTAACTTGCTTTGGATCCATAGGACAGTACATGTGAATTATTTGATTTTATCACAGTATTGTCATTACCCTCAATCTTTATCCTGGATTACATATCAAGTAAATGTAAATAAGTAACAACAGTAACAGCGTATCGAGATGAAGATAACAAGTTTTTATCAAAAAGCAAGTTTGGGAGAGGAGCATAAGATGTACAATAAATCAAAATGTATGCAGTCCTAAGATTGCAGAAATTTCCATCTTACCAATGACTGTCCAGACAATTTACAATTATATGTACTCCTGGTCAAGAAAAGGAAAAGGTTTCAGGACGAATTGGCAAACAAAATTGGCCTAGAATTTGCCTCTGGTTTCTTTCATTAAACCATTCATCATATCTACATAACATTAAGCCGATATGATTGAAACATTGACACTACTGTATTTTTTCATCTCCATTTGATGTTTTAACTTTGGACTTAAGCATAACCTCTAGTCTTTCAATGGACTAGAGTGTAATATCACTGATTGTACCTGAAAGGAAGGTGATGACCAAATAATGCAGTATTACTAATTCACGAAGAATATAATTGTATTAACTCACTCTTTTCAGCAATTTAACTTGACTACATTGATGATATTCTGTGATGCACATCAAGTTAACTCACATTATCTGGTTCCAGGTATTGGCCACTTATGGAGTTATTCAATTAAAAGAATAACATATCCATACAGCAGTTCCATTTTCCCCCACAAACCCCTTATGTTATCAGCCTCAAGAATTAAATCAATTGTGACTTCTGGAATGCAAGCATAATTACATACATATATGTATAATGATAATTAAATATAAAGATCATTAAAGCCCCTCAACATTTTCTTAGCATTACTGAAAAAGCCATTATGGTTTGGCCATCAGTCAGCAATAAACTGCTTTCTAATAAGAATTTCAAAGAAACTGGCTCCGTCTATTGTGCAGGAACAAGTTTTCACCTAATTTGATGTGAATTAACATTGAGTGGTGACAAATCGAATTACAAAATGGACCCCTGGACTTCAAAGTACACACAGAACGTTGTAGAGTGTACTTCATGTCAATGGTGATAAATTAAATCAAGGTTTCAATATTGTGATAATTGATAAGAATAAGTGGAGCTGCACTCCAAAAATATATTGAGCTACATTCAAGTTTGTTGTGTCAATAAAGCTTTCTTTTCATCTATTTCATAGATAAGCTAATAAATATTAATATAAAGCAATTTAAAGGACAAGTCCACTCCAAAAATAACTTACTTTCAATAAAAGCAGAAAAATCAGACAAACCATTCAAAAAAAGTTTGAGCGAAATCGGATCACTAATAAGAAAGTTATGAATTTTTGAAAAAGTATGTAAAACTATGGAACAATGAGAATCACAGCACAATTTGCCAAGATGGTTATCAGTTTGTGACGTCATGTCCTCACAACTTATCAATAGCTTTATATCGTTAAAATATCATTAATTTCCCTTTTTATCCCCCAAAACTTGATTTCCCCATGCCTTAGCCCAGGTTATATGATTTATAGCATATTGCGTGCATGACATTTCCCAAAAACTTTTATGAATTTTAAAGAATTTATACTTTTTTCTGAATATTGTATTTCATAATTATTGATTTTGATATAAATAGTTTATCAAAATTCAATTTTTCATGATTTAACTGGACAAAAATTACTCTTTATTTGTGCATCCACACAAACAAATTACTAACAATCTAACTTGGATGCTGGTGTGAAGAAATAAGATTCTTAGGGTGAAAATAGGAAATTTATATTATCAATATAAAGAAAATAATTAGTGGATAGTGAGGACCATACGTCACAGATTCATGAGTGAGTTGCCAATTTGTGTAGTGATTTTCAATTTATTTCATGTCATTAAAAATGTATAACTTTGTTATTAGTTATCCGATTTTGCTAAAACTTTTTTTGACTGGTTTGTCTGATTTTTCGGGTTCTATTGAAAGTAAGTTATTTTTGGAGTGGACTTGGGCTTTAAAGAAAAAGAATATGCATCAGCAAAAGTGATTTCCATAGGTCAATGTCCTATGAAAAGTGATCACAGCATATTGGTACTGTACAATCGCTAATAATATCAAAGTGAAGAAAATACACATTTTCTTAGAAAAAAAGGGAAACAAACATCACTGAACTAATTAATCGAACTTCTGTTTCTTTTATTAATAAACAAAAGTGATAAACAGAATTATCATGCAACTCCCCCCCCCCCCCCCCCAAAGATTTAAAAAATAAATAAGTATCAATGAATTAGATGAAACAAACAGAGTGAACTAGGGGCAAAATGGAAAAATATAGAAGAGACAGATATAAAAGATTGAATGAATGGATCTCCACTATGGCTGCCTTTGCCCAAATCATCTGTTCCAGCTTCGTCAATTTTTTTGATGTAGCATTTCAATATATCAAATAGAGGTCATGTCTTTTAACTTTACTAATTCATTGTAGATTACAAATTCCTCCTTGTTTACAAATTTTGACAAGAAATTTCTCAACTGTAAATTTCTAGTATATTTCACTTTTTATGCAATTAAAAATTTCTCAATCCATTGTTACACATCTGCTCATGTAAATTTCATATCTTCCTGTGTATATTTCATTGAAGCATGTCCTGTAATATACAACCTGCCAATCAAGGCTAACTGTGAAGTTGTATGACCTAGGTTGAATGACCTACATGTATACATCTCTTTAAAACTAATTATACAAGTTGTATGATGCAAACTTTCATTTGTATTCATATTTAAGGAGGCGCAATGGCTTAGTGGTAGAGCAGTGGTCTCATAACCGAAAAGTCCCTGGTTCGAAACCAAGTCAATGTGCTTTTGCCCTTTGGTAGGCCATTGATCCTCATTACCAAGTGCCTCATTAGAGGACTTAAAGCTGTCGGTCCCCTGGTTGCTCACTTACAAGCATACATGTGCTTTCGTAGCAGTCAGGTAAAACAATCATCAACCATTAATTGATTAATTAACCATTGATTAATTAACGTCTACTTAATCATTGTATTATATTACCCATAGGAAGGCCATTAGTCAAAAAGTAAATTTTGAATTCATTCATCTGACCTTTGAGTACAGTACTCCCAAAGCCAATGTTAACATCCTTTTACATGTATGCTATAAACAAGTTTCAACTAAGTTTGCGTTATCGTGTATGAAGTTATAGCTGTAACAAAAGGGGAGGGGAAGAGAAAAAAGAATTGCACAGAAAAGACAGACACAGACACAAACACAGACAAATAAAAAAATAAATGCAATCAACACCTCCTTCATTAGCAGACATATTGAAAAGACTTTCATCAAAAATTTGGTTTGTAACATTCTCCCTTTAAATCACATCAGTGAGAAAATCATTGTTTACAAAGAAAGGAACAAATTCTAAGTATAACATTGGCTATTTTTTTCCTTCTTCTCCTTTTTGTGTTATTGCCATCACCTACCTCATCTTTGAGCTGCTGTACCAGAGCATCCTTCTCTTTCTTTAGAAGCTTGAGTTCTTCCGACGACTTGAGACCTTTCCTATTCAGCTCCAAGAGGGCGATGTGAGCATCCTTCTCACCAATGGCTGCAGTCAGGGCTTCTTGTCTGTTAAGAAGTGGAATACATTCATAAGTTGTTAAAATCTTTGAAATCAAAATTTAGATCAAGGCTTTTTTTTTAAAAGGTCATGTGGAAAATCATCATTAAAGAAATATGTTAGGGAAGAGTATCTTTGTTATAATTGATAACATTCATGCCACAAATCCCACACATGCCACAAAAAAACATCTCCTGTATGTTGGAAAGGACAGTCTAAGATATTGCTTACCTGAAAAGGAAATGGAAAATAAAAATACTATGGAAGTGTGTATATTAGGTGAATATGAACATGTATTGTTGGAGAAATATAGTTTTGACACCCCATCCCTTTGAAAATGGAAAATACATTAACATGAACATATTGAAGAGCAAACACACACAACAAAGACACGCATCCCATAATGTATTTTGAAGATGAAAGAGGGAGAGAGAGAGAGAGAGATGGAACAAATAATTTAATTTATTTGACAGCGGGTAATATCTAGCTCACACCGCTTCTGTGTTTTCTCCATTTCCGCTCATGTGTCACAATATCTGCACAACGCCGGTATTGTGCTAATTGACCTTAATCAGATGATTTGCCATGCACATGTTGTGCATCTATTCTGCTTGAAGCTAGACAATACAGACAAATAAGGTCTGCAAAGATACTTAAAACATATTGGCAGAGAACACAAACAAAATATTTTCAAGCCTGAAACAGTGACGTACAATCATAATTCTCATTATATACCTCATATGAATGACGCACTTGTCTTTCTTGTCTTTGATGTAAGATGGGTATAAGTTTGCCTGTCTTGTGAATTTGGTTATTACTCATAAATTTTTTTGTTTTTTATTTTTATAGTCCATAAGCATATCCATCAAAACTTACAACAACTGCAATCAATGGTACCCTTATTCACATCAAGGAGATAGACATCAGACAGACAAAAGACCAAACAAAAAATTGCCTTATTACAAATCACAAAACAAATCACAAAGATTTGGTCAATTGTTGGTCAGTTTTGAGTCAGTTTGGCAATGTGACTGTGTATGACACCAACAATATTTTTAAAAGACTTTTATCATACTTCTCCTTTGAGGTCAAATCAAGCATCATTTATTCCACAATGGATAATGGATGATGAAATCATGACAAGAAAAACATCTTAGGGGGGAAAGTTTTTATCTTATTCATCCATTCATGTCAATCAAACAGCACATCATCTTTCATAAGCATTATCTCTGAAGGCTGGGTAACTCACTGATAAGACACACCTTTTGTATTTTAATGTAATATTTTATCTCCCAGGACTTGGTCACTGTCCGGCTATGCCAGCCAGGGCAGTACCAGACGACATCTTGCCCTTGATAAGATTGTCCAGACACCCCATGCTTTGATTCTCAGGGAGCAAACTATTTGGAATGGTAACTTGGTTCATATCAAAGGGTGTGATTATTAAGGCACTGATTGATTACGTCCATGACCAACAGAAGGAAACGCCCCTCCATTTTTTGTTTACCTTCAACAGATCCTATCACATGTTATCAATGAATACAATGTCTGGAGAACGTAGAAAACAATTCAGATATGGAAGAAAACAACTTTTGAAAGAGGAAGCCATATTCCTTTCCCCAAGGGATGGTTATTATCTCTGCATATAGATCAATGCCAATCACATAAGGATGTGCCTTCCATTTATAACCTTCTAAAACCAAGTAACTTCCTGATAAAGACTGATTGTCAAAAGATAAACGTTCTTTTGAAACATCAGGGTTTTAAAAAAAGCTCTAATGCTTGGTCACTGCCAAACATCATGGATATATCTTTCACACATCACTGCCACTTGGGTATTGTTGGCCTTTCAACAACTTGAAGGACAGCCAACATATTCCTATAAAGATATAAATTCTGTACGTATCCTAGTTTCGGCCCCTCCACTCAGTGTTATTTAGGATACACATATGCATGTTCCCTCCTGTTGAAAACACCCCCTAAGTCCGGTGTGTAAAGTCTTGTTTGTGTATGTACGAGCCGGACTTTGGGGCGTGAAAAGTACCCATTTACCGGACATTTTGGTAACACGCATGCGGTCATTCCGACCCCGGAGTGGGGGGCGGGATCCTAGTAGAAAGGGATTAAAATTTTGTTGGAGGGAACTATAATCCTCAACTCATTAACCTGGAGGCAAAAAATTAATCAAAACTTTGCATTGAATGAAGAAGAAAAAAAGTTATGAAATTCATTAAAAGTGAATGAGATTGTAGCTGAAAATTCAGAGTAATTGCCTGACAGTCAGTCATCCTCGTTTGTCACAATGCAACCAGAGATTCAGTGTTCCTAAGGGAAGACATTGATTCCCTAGTGCTTAGTGAATGGAATGGGACTTTAGCTGTATTATAGTGCCTTGGATACCCACATAAGATTTAGTCGATATCGCTGATGAAATAAAATCACTCAATCACCCCATCGTATGTGATCTTTGCCAACCCAACCCAACCCCTTTCCTCTCATCTTCACTATTCTCATCCCATCGACTTTCTTACACACTTGATATCAGGTTAATGTAGAATGTCGAATGACCTTGATCAATCACTAATAAAAGCCGGGCAGCTAACTCCATGTACATTAATCACAAGAAAGTAATACGCTGAGACAGTCAAGCTATCATTTGTTTTGTTCTGTTCATTATAATAGCAAATAGGCAATACTCCAAGTGACTGCATCCTCTGTAATGTTGAGCATGTTACTAAATTACTTCCTCAATCATGAATATCTTCATTCTCTTCTCATTATACACTACAAACCACTTGCCCTTTTCACCGTCCATTAATTTTCTGTCCCTAATTGTGTTATTCTCATAAAATATGTTGAAAATGCATTTCAAATCTGAACACAAAGATCTTCAAAACTGGAGATGAATTTTACTCCTCTCCCCTTGTTTAGTGGTCAAAACTTGAAATATTGTATTACAAGTTAATGTACGAAGTCATGTATGATAAATGTTGGAAATATATCTTTAGAATCATACTCCACCTACATCTTGGCATGGATATAGAACCAGATCAAAGACATCTTTGAACATTGCTTGAATCAAAAGTCTTCAAAGTGACACTGTGCCCTTACAATCTTTTGATTTGATTACTTTCCACTCCTTGATAAAATCAGACCTCATACATGATGTTTATGATAACACAATTTAAGGTACATCAGGAATTTAAAAGAATTCTGACATCGGTATGATGTATAAATTGTGATATTGCCAATGCCTGAGGAATGTCGTAGTCCAAAAGATATGCTTCCAAGCTTTCATACATGCATATCATGGGAATATTGTGCTGCATATGTCATGTAACAGGTGAAAAAAGAACCAGGTGTGCCGAAGTGACATACCAATATTTTATCACCTCAGGTATGCTGACAAGGTGTGTTTAAACTGCATAGCATCACACCTTGATAACACCTTTTTCTTATGTCTTTGTCTACAATCTGTCTATAATCTGTCATCTTCCCCTCTTTCACAGATGTTACAGACAAGAACGTGCTGATAATAGCTCGGCAAATGAGAAAGACAAGAAAGGGAGGAGTTCGCATGAATGGTATGGAGTAAATTTAGAAGAATTCATATGATAGCACAAGATAATATTAAGCCACAAGTGGTCTATGGGATCATGTGGTCAGAATTTCACTCCCAGCCTTTGTTCTCACATAATTAAAAAAAATTATTGTAAGGTAATTGATTTTTTTGTACAAAGGACAAAAACATAGATCTGATTGGTAAAGATCCTTTTTCTTACATTAGAATTCTCCCCTAAAAGCAGAGGAATATCTCCACTTTACCCGGTGACAACTGGATTCTCACATTCCCATAGGCTTAAAGTTAAAGACCAGTTCTGGTTCTGCATTGTGAAAGAAACGTTGTGGAATCGATCAGAAAAGGTTGATCATCTGGTATTGGTGTGTACTACAAGGTTCTGGAATCATCAAAATGACATAAAATTTGGCCCAGTCTTGGTAAAGTTACAAGCACCGTACACAGAAAGATGTATATGGGACCACACGACATGTGCGCGATATTTATCTGGTCCAAATAGATATAATAATTTAGCAAATATATCAATTAGTAGGCGGTTTCCCGGCAAAATTTGTATCATAACGTATTAGTCAAAACATATTCTTTCACACGATTGGTAATAAGAGCTTCCATTTCATTTTTTGAGAGAGGGGCGTTTCCAAAACTGGTCTTTACCTTTAATACAGGAGTCACAAGGTTCCAGTAGGCAACAGGTTAATTAAGTGCCATTGGCCCATAATCCACACTAATCATTCTTCTTCTTCTTCTTCTTCAAGATAATCTGCCTCCTTCAATACTGAAGATTCTTGGAGATGCCGTATACTCGGCCTGATTGGGGTGTGCAGGTGGACCATTACACCGGGGTTTCCCCCTAATCTTATACGAATAGTGCAATGGGTTCTTAACGTGCAAGGGTTGTTACTCTCCTGAACACGGGACCTCCATTTAATGTCCTATCCGAGGGACGGAGTGTTTTCCACTTGACATAACCTGCATCTATGAACAAGGGAAGAGGCACGTTAACACACAACGCACGCTTCAGTCATCCGCCTGGGTGGGAGTCGAACCCGGGATCTTTGGTTCGACAGACAGACGCTTTACCAACCGAGCCAACAATGTAACAAAGTGATATCAAAGATTGTTTTCTAGTAATCAGCCTACATGGGGGTCGGTTGGACTCGCAATAATCACTCATGTAACATCAAAGTGGGAGATCGTTTCCTATGTAACAGTCAACATGGGGTTGGACGAGAAATGAAAATGTAAGGCCTAGGATCCTTTTATCAGATACTGTTTGATTATTAAAGCATTATGAACTTACTTCATGCAAAGGGTCTCTTCTAGATGTTTCCTTCCCTCAGCCTGTACAGCTCTTAGCTTGATTTCTTTCTCTTTGAGAAGGACTTGAGTTGTAGCAATCTTGTTGCTGGCCATAGACAGTTGTTTCCTTACTTCATCCAGTTCTCTCCTTACATCTTCAAGCTATGTGTGGAAGATCAGAATCAAAAGACAGATCAGTCAGGAGATGTTACATATATGATTCATAAGATACATGGTGACCAGATAGAATATTTTCAATCATGGTGTTCTTGGATAAGAGCTGTAAACGAGCACACTGTAAGTAGGCTTTGAGCATAATGATTCAATTCTTGTATTCAAATGGCTGATTTAAACATGTATATGTACCTCTTTTGCAAATGTTAAATTGTCTCTCCTTTCCACCATATACACAAATTAATTTGCTTAATTTCCACTTTTATAGCTTGATCTTAAATCTAGTGATAGCAGGTTTTATTGTTGAAAACATGTGAACAAACAAATTCTGGGGGAAAATCACACTTTCTAATGAGACATCACAAAGCTTTATTACAGCACCTTTATATGACACAATTCTTCAACTGTAGATGAAATGGAATTCGAAGCTGCATATAAAACATTTATTTTCTGAAGAATGTTTGAAGGACAAGATCCCATTCCCATTGTGACACTATACATTTCAACACTTCCATTGGACATAAACAGGACAGAGATGGCGCCCTTCAAAATTTGGAATTCACTTCTTTGAGCTTTAATTCCAAATTCTTTGAAGGTTCATACATGCAATTCCTTTCATATCATGGAATCTAGAATATCTAACTAAGAATAAGAAAAAAAATAGTAATCATTAATGACTACATAGAAATTGGACTCTGTACTTTCAAACACACTGCTAAAACTCTGATGGAACTTAAGTCAAGTTTAATATTACAACCAGAGTATAGTGATTTCGCTATTTTGGCATTTCGACAGATATTGTCCAATTCAGAGAAAATAATGTATAAGTAGAGAGCTCTGGTCAATCAGTCCCAGAGAAAAACAAACAAGTTCATACTGCCTCAAATAAGTAAAATAAGTTCATATTGTTCAGTTTGCAAGACCAATGGGTACTGACATTCAATTTCCAGTAAGGGATCTCAAAATATTGACAACATTTATAAGAATTTAGAATACCAGATTCAGTTTCGGAAAAAAAAATAAAATATGCAAATAACAAATAATAGGAGAATCTCAATACACCAATGACATTATCTTTCATGAATCATGATGTTTTTCAAGATGCATGGACATACAGACCTGTTTTTTCAGCTTGGAGACGGCTTCGGTCTGTTGTGCAATCAACATTTCTCTGTCTGCCGTTATCGTCACACTTTCCTTAAGAGCCTCAGCCAACTCCTCTACACGATCTTCTTTCTCCTTCACCATATCCTGTAAAGGTCAAAGGTTGAAATCAAGCTCATGAATAAAAGCTGTGATGGGAAATCAACCATACACCGCAATGTATAGGTCGGCATATTTCAATAATATTGACATTGAAAATTTGATGAGAATTTGAATAATTTCTTATTTCATATATCTACATGTATGAAAACTATAAATTAAAAATCTGCCAAACTGGTATTCTTGCCTTTCTTGGATATTTCCCCTTTTCATTCTTTTCCCAAAACTGTATGTATAAGCATATTTATAGTCATGCTGGAAAAAACCCAATTCTATGGCTTTCATGCAAATACCAGAAATCTTTAGACCAGAAACTTTTGCAAGTAGTTCAAAACGGGCATTCCCACAGCAAAAATACTATCGTGAATATAAGAATTTCAGTGTTGTAATAAATTTTATAATTTTGTGACTATGCACTACTCGCAAAAATCACAGGCGTTTCATGCTCGCCAAAGCTTTACAGTATATATATTCACGCAGGACAGCATTGCATAATGTGAGCTTCTTGTTTACCTGTAGCTGGTGTGTATCTGAGGAGAGCTCTCCCTCTCTTCTCCTAGAATCCTCCAGGAGTTGAGCATTCTTACGCTTCTGAGTCTGCTGGTCTCGCTTGACAGCTACCAGCTTCTTGTTCGCATCCTTCAATTGGCTGTCATGACAAAACATAATCCAAGATGTTATCCAAGATATCACAAGATTGGAAACACTGCTCAAGCAGCTTCATACAGAATGATGCAAGATGGAACCTTATCATGTATTACTGGTTAGGTTAGTCCTTTCACATTCATCATGCAGAGGTTACAAACTGACATCAACATGGGTCATCCGTTGCAACTTGCAAGAGCTAGTGGCTGATAAACCAACTGCATGCCTATATCTGGTGGCATAGCAAGGGGCCAAACATAGAGGGGGCACTGCTCTTACTCGGTGAATGAAATGCAAATTAACAAGGTCATTAATTAGGAGGGTGGTGAAGGAGTGGGGTCATCATGTTTTCTTTTCATTTTTTCCCCCCGACCTCCCCATCTTTTTTTTTTTACCAATCACAAGATTTTTTTCATTTTTTTCATTTTTTCTGTGGGGGGGGGGGGGGAGGGCACATGCCCTCTGCACTCAGCTGCCACTGCATGTACATCATGAATAAAAAGAAGTAAATTAATCAGATGCATTCATTGTCTTCAAAACATCATTAACTCAACATTAGTACATGGCCTTGCAACATCAATCTACTTGTTCAAGAATTGAAAACATAATTAAAAGCAGCCTCTAATTTTGGACAATCTTATGCTTCCTTCCCTCTTCTTTCTTCAGTGGAATCTTCAGCTGAGTCTTTCAGAATGTAACATGATGTGTGGTATATTTTATGAAAAACTATCAACAAATATTATCTCTTTCATCAAAATGTTTATGGTTAGATGTTGATTAATGCCTCACTTGGATATAAACAATGGTCTATTTTTACATGTTGATTGTTTGTATGTTATTATAAAGATGAACATTTAACATAACAAAATACCAATCAATCTGAATGGTATAACTAGCAAGCTGAAAGGTATTTAACTATCATACATAAACCCTTCAATATAATTCTTTTCAGGACTATTTTATGGCACAAAAATTGAAACAAATAAAAAATAACATCTGTATGTAAAATAACGTAGCACACTCACAACACAGAAACATTATCACTCATCACATTGAGTGTCATTTCGACTATCAGGCAATTTTTTTAGTCTGGAATTAACTTGGAAAAATATATTTGTCAAATTGTACCATGCATAGATATAAGATCATAACATCACACATGCCAAATAAAGTGACAATAGTGCAAGGTGTATAGAACTAAAACAGGTGGGGTACAAATCAACATTGGCCAGTATCGTAATAATTTGTTAACTCTTTTTTTTTGTAATAACAATATAGATGACAACTAGAATGATGCACTGGGACAAAAAGTAAACATTGGTAGCAATTTAGGGTATAAACGTAGTTAATATTTAGAAAGAAGTTAAAAATTGAAATGATAATGGAATTGGTAGGTTAGAAATAATTAAAACCAGTAAGGGATTTGTGTAATTCTGCCAATTAAAACAGAAAAAATTGACAAAATTCAGGCAGTGTGCAAGCTCTTGTGAAAACTCAAACATTGAAATAGAAATCAAAATTGTTGAAGATAATTATAATTGTTATCAAACATATTCACTACATTATCAATTAAGAATTCACTTATGAATTTATTACTTTAAAAAAAGACATGTTGAAAAGGACAAGAAACTTATGCACAGATGCATAATATCTACAACATGCATATAAATACATGACAGGAAGATCGGGCAATGACAAGATTACTTCATGCACAATGAGGTCAAAGGTCATCTAAGGTCATGACATATATAGGTCACTCACCCTGGGCAATGTTTTCTCATTATGCTGGAGGTTAAAGGTTAGCAGGAAGCAAAAGGCATTTAGGTTATTAGCTGCAACTTGTTTAGGAATAAAGAAGCTTCAGAAGCAACGGTTGTGTTTAAAGTTAGCTTTTACAAGTTATTACATAATCATTAACAGTTTCGAACAATACAAGTAAGCATTTCCAATGCAATGCTAACATTTGGCATAATCCAGGATTGGCAATTGTTTTACTTTTTCTCATTTAAAACACTACATCAGTGATTTAAATCAGACTTATCATATAAATCAATTCACATCACTGGCAGTTTGCTTTTGATTCAATTGTAATGTCAATGATTGTTATATCAAAGAAGTGATATTATTCACCAACCCTAGCATAATGACCAACAATAGCTTTCAATCTCAATACAATTACATATTTTCAAGTCTGTTAAAGCCCTGCAGGAACAAGAGTTTTCCATTGTACATGTGAATCATTTTCTCTTTATTTTTAAACTAGTACCAACTTTTTTCCATTGTGATAGGTATAGGCCTAAGCCTCTGGTATATATGGAAGCTACTCCCGAAAAGCTAAGACCAATGTTTCATAATGGTCGGCTTTTTAGGGCTGAATTTAGGCCGACAAGGTGGAGCCAGTTGAGATTTCTCTCGACTGTTACTAAATAGCAAAAAAAGGTGGACTGAAGTCAGACATTGATACTCGTTAAAGAAATCAGGCATTTATTTTCACTGTTTGTATTAATTTCCTTTCAAGCCAAACACAAATTGTTTCACTATTTCATTTCAATTTGCTAGACCTGCAGTTCTCCTTTTGTTTATAGAATTAGTATTTTTTTGTAATAACAAACAAAAACAATTCTTTAACTATCAAAAGATGCAGTAGGATACAAGTCTGTTTTTCTTCATTGTCTTTTCATATCAGATATTCACAACCATGAAATTGACTTAATCACGTAAATTCCACTGGAAAAGTTGGCCTAAATCCACTTAAATGCGCTTACACCAAGCAAATTGCTGGCCTACAGCTGGTTTTCATCTGGCCTGCAGCAAGCCTGAAACCATTCACAGACCAATTTTGCATACACTAACATCAAGCGACTCCAGTGCGATGACTAAAGATGATTGAAGTTACTGCTTTCATGCATTCCTTTCTTTATGCTCTCTGCCAAGTTTCATATCATGTGCATATCACATTATTAGTTTGGCATCTCAAATATTGCTCTATCATACTCCCTCTTTGGTCCAAAAATTATTCCAGCAACAAGTGCTCTGGATTTTTGTTGAACGTAAAGGGTTAGGGTTGCAAATTGGGTTTAAGGTTAGGTTAAGGGTTACGGTAAGGGTTGTAGGTATAGTGTTGGATCCAGGGTTGAAGGTAGGAATTCAGTTAGTGTAGGAAATTACTGTGAAGCAAATGTCGCAGAAGCTAGCTGGTCTTGTATAACTGCTCTCTCCTTATCTCTCAGTATGTCTACATGTACTTTAATCACATGCATAATTCTCTATTGATTCAATATTGATATATCAATGTAACAATATCTACTTCGATATTGTACTCTAACACATCTATGGCCTTCAAATCCACTTCCTTTCACATTTCCTTTCTTCTCTAATCTCATAGTATCTAAAAATCATATTTCCTTGTTGCTTAATGACTTATCCATGTATTGTTATAAACTGAGTGATATTGGTATTGATTTAATTTAATCTATGTAAACATGCTCATAGTCAACAGTGGACTTTGAATGCAAAAATGACCGTGCCCAATTTCCTTCTCCAGATCTAAGTGATCTCACTCTCATTCTCGTCTTTTTGTTAAATACAGAACAAAGAAATAACTGATGATCATATAAAGCACAACAGCATGTGCGATCATATAGCCAGCTTGTATATACCTGTACATACTTCCCAGACAGTGCCTTAACTTTAAAGGTATAGACCAGTTCTGGTCATGCAATTGCATTGCGAAGGAAACGTTCTAGAATCGATCAGAAAAGATTGATCATCTAGCATATAAGTATTGGTGTGTACTGCAAGGTTCTGGAATCATCAAAATGATAAGAAATTTGGCCCAGTCTTGGTAAAGTTACAAGCACTGTACACAGAAAGATGTATATGGGACTACGCGATATCTATCCAGGCCGGATAGATAATTTACCAAATATATCAATAAGTAGGCGGTTTCCCGGCAAAATTTGTATCACCACGTATTAGTCATAACATATTCTTTCACATGGTAATAAGAGTTTCCAAAACTGGTCTATACCTTTAACCCCAGACCCCACACTACATATAACCCTCATCTTAACTATTCCATGAGAGCCTAGTTATGCAACAATACCACACGACCCTACCTCAACCAAAGCCTGAACCCCAAATTTTTTAATGAAATAAAGCCTCCAAAATTGTTGGATTATCATCTATTATGGTGGATGTGTAACCTGTTACCCATTTAAATACTAATGGAGACACAGACATTATGGCAGATTTTGAGCTTGGTCCAACAAACTTTACCTACACATGCGAGAAATAAAACTACAAAATGGCTTAGTTTCTTGCTTCCTGACTAATGTATAAATGTATCTAACCCTTGCTAATGCTACATGTCTTATCACACTAAATAACCCCTTCTATTTTATACCTCTCCAGATCTTTAATCCTCTTCTCCTTGTCGTTCTTCTCTCCTTCCATCTCCTTCATGATCTCCAGGAGCCTGTCGACCTCTGCATGCGACTTGCGGACCTCATCCTTCATCGCAGACACGGATCCCTGCAGCTCCTGGATCTCCTGAGCATGGGTGGACTCCTTCTCATCCTTCAGCTGCACAAAGGGGGGACAGGATATAACAAAGTATAGAGACAACCGTTATCCAAGGGTTCCAGACAGAAATTAAGAGAGGGCCTGAAAATCATATGCAATAAGATATTTTGCATGCTAGAAAAGTCAAGAAAATGGTAGGAAAACACTTACAAAGACCCAAATTCTGGCTTTTATCTGAGAATGGGTATCCCTGATTATCATAATACATATTCAACTCTGTACTAGCTGTAGATTGGAACCCTTATAGACTGCCTAGTTGTATCAAGTATCAAGGAGTATTATATTCCATGTAAAACTGTATGTTTGACAACAGTTAACGTTGGCAGTCCACTGTTCCCTCAGTAGATCAAAGTGGGTAAAGGGTTGATTTCTACTCTTCCTTCTCCGTGGAAAGGGCTGTAATCTTTCCTAAACAAAACAATTTCACATGGTCTTGAAATTATAGTCAGAGGCTATTCCAGGTCTGCTTCCTAATCTCCAACCATTAGCAGATAAATATCATTGTTGAGAGGCTGAAATGAATGTCCAAGTTGGGTATTATGCATCAAAAGAAAAATAATCTAGGTGCCTTCTCTTTCTGTATGAAACATGTAGAATTACTATTTCAAAATCTGTTCTTTCAAAATTGTGGAAATGAATGGTGAATGCTAATGTCATTCATAATTTCCTCTCTTTATATTGACATTTTTACCAGTATCGACTGCTAGAAGAACCAGTGGGGCTTTAAGTCATATATTTTTCTTTTACATATCCTTCAGGTTGTCAGCCCACGGTATGACTCAAAAAGTAAATTTTCAGAAGACCGTGATGTGAAGATACAGCAAATTTATTTCATATTTGACCTTACATCGACTGTCGCTCATACTTCATAGATGGTGATTGTACTGTTGATTTATCTAATTAGTCTAAGTATCCGTATTGCTGATTGATTAATCACTATCATTGATTAATAAAGCGAATACACAGTGGATTGAGTCATTCACTGACCAGGGGTAACCGTCTCATAAATAATACTATGAAGATGATTTTCATTATGAAAATTCAATATTATGAAGACAGAGAAAAAGGAATAACAAAAATGTGAATACACTTATATGAACTATATCTTTTGGCATTATTCACTGAGGTGTATAGTGTAGTCTGGCATCAAATCATGCTCATGGCATTCATAAAGTTGTAAAATATACAATGCATGTGTTACATCTTTTTGAGGGGTGCAAACTGATTTGATTCATTGGTAAGAACTACATTAAATCGTCCTTGTTTTCACGAGGTGACGGTAGTGAGGAAAATCGTAACGCAAAGTGAATGCAATTTTTTTTCACTACCGTCACTTCGTGAAAACAGCGACGATTTATGCAAAGTTCACACAAACATATAAATGTAAGCAGAACCATAATGAATACATAACATATCAAGCGATTGATTGACTATTAAAGGAAATAGGTCTCAAGCTGGTATTTATTCATGTACTTCTTGCTGAACAGGAAATATGAAAGTATCAATAGACAAGCACAGTAGTGTTACAAGACTTTGGAACGGAGAATGGGTGTGGACATTCAAAGGCTTCATGCAGAACAAAAAACAAATACTAAACAGCATATACATGTGTGTAACATTAGTGTCTGAGTATAGGCTCTGAATGTTGTTTGTTATATGTTTCAATATTATTCTGTTACTTCCATTTCCAAATAATATACTCTCCCATCTATTCCTGTGTTTTCAAATGATAACATGTGTCTTTTAATTCTTGGTTTATGTTACCCATTTTGGAAAAGTTAATATGATTTGATTTGATATTGCAATTAATTTTAAGTTACCGCTTTGAGAATAATTTCCCAAAACAAGAAAAGTTGTATCTCGTAAATGAAACAGCTAGAGTAATGAATTACATTCAGAGGGCTATCGTGATATGACAGGAGTACCATGGCATATTGGTTCATTCACTTGACTATTCATTGAGAGATCAAGGGTTCAAATCTACCCAATGACTGGCCATCAACATTGCGTTTTATCAGAAGTTGTCTCTGTCAATCTAGGTGCAAATCAGAAATTTTACTCCTTAGAATGTAACTTCAGCAAGGGTAATAATATCTCATGTTCTCTGTATTAAAGTATATAGGGGTGCTATGCCCAGTTATATGTTATATTATATGAAAAAACAGATTATTATTAGGAAGTCATAGTATCTGAGTATTATCTTTATCATTATAATCTCAAATGTTATCATTAATCAATTAGTTAGGATGTCATGTATACATTAATTACTAAAGAGTAATACACTAATTATCCATCTTTAATAGTTTTTTAATAAAATGATTGATATAATATTTAATTAGGGTCATAATGTCATCTCTGTTAAATGGAGAGTACATGGGGGTGTTTCACAAAGATCCTAAGTTGAACTTATCTCTAAGTTGGACTTAAAAATTATGGGAAGCGGTTAGCATCTTCAAAAATATTTTGTAAAAGTTATTTTAAAATGTTAATTCAAATCATTCATATTTTCTATTATCAAGGAGGTTTCTTGTTCTTGATGTGTAATTTATGAAAAGTCTAAAATACTTCAATTTTTTATTTGAATATATTTTATTTTAAGGCTACAAATGGCTCTCCATAATATTTAAGTCCTACTTAGAGTTAAGCTCGATTTAGGATCTTTGTGAAACACCCCCTGGTATACATTTGTGAAGATCCGCTGAATTTCATGCACATGCATGATGAATACTTACCGCCTGTAGTCTACGATGCATCTGAGTTAGCATGGAAAGAAGGGGATTATATTGGGTGAAAATGAAAGGATTCAAAGGGATAAAAAGGGGGTCAATCTCAACACCTTGTCTGTCCACACCTTATTATTAAGGACATCACACCATCACAGATTAGTGTGAAACACCTAGGCCCTGTTTCATAAAACTTGTTATCAATAACAAGTTACAATAACTGTTATAAGCTACTGAAATTGTAGTATCTGATTGGCTGAGAGCGAATATGTCATAGAAATTTATCATTTGTTGATATTTATAACACGTTTGATGAAACTGGGCCCAGATTTGTTATTTCTCAATTGTGCGATTTTTAATAGTGTAAAGTGAATGAGCTGTCAAAGATGAAAAAGAAAAAGAAAAAGAAAAAGAAGGACCTCAAAGAATAGAATATTCTTGGTCCTGTGTGGCCTTTATGTTTCTCAATGATCACTTTCATGCATCATCAGTCACACTTTCAAACAGACCTTATTCAAAATTTGCAACCATGTTCTATATAAGGGGGGGGAGATGGGGAGGGGGGTATTCAATCTATTTCATAATAATAACAATTTTCAGCATAATATTCACAATAAAATTCATACAAAATTTCTATACTCTAAATTCAGATCTACACATGTTTTACACCAACTACGAGATAGCGCAATATCCGTCACAATCTTCTATTCACATAGATTTGCAAGAATTTTGCAACTATTTCTCTTTCTGTTTGCCTACTGCACATGCAATTTTATGGAGGAGCTTTTTTGCAAATGGACAAGGGTGAACAGGGGACAATTGCTTTATAAGGCCCTTCAAAACTGGAGAAAAAAAATAACTTGGGAACGGATACGAACAAGCGAGATAATCTAAAAATTCAAATTTAATATATCACAATATAATTTCTAACTGGAAGAAGGTACTATATTAATAAATTGAGTTATAAGAAAGGAGGAAGTGTATCGATATTAGTTAAAATGTAAACAAATTGATTATTGTTTAATGATAATAACACCCTAAACACCAATGCATATTATGAATATGAAAGGGGGAGGGTTACTAAGTATTGAAGGGAGAAGTTTTAACATGAAAGAACTGCAACCCCCAAATGTATTAATTTTGAGGGCAGTGTAAATCCAGTCAAGGTATTCAATTCACAATAAATGTTTTATGAAAAGTAGGTAAATTGTCTACACCATTGATAATAGGCTTCCATTCATCCCCAAATTGAATCCACTATCTGCTTTCCATTGCTCAAGCAAGTATAAACATATACTAGACAGTTTGACATTGTTACCAAAAATCATATGAAACCTATAGAATCATTCGAGAAGAGTGACTTTCAAACCATTTTGTGACAATCACAACCTATGAAGTGTGCCACAGAGATATTGGTCACACCTGTAAAATGTGCATAATGTATCTCACATGTATTACCATGTGAGTTTCCAGGTGGGGTCACTCCCCTGCAAAGAGTGACACGTATGACCGTTACCACCAATGCATATAACCCCCTTTTGCGGTCAATTTCAAGGACATTTTGTGAAACTTAACCCCCTTTTTTACGTCAAAACAAGGACAAAATCGTACTTTGGAATACCCCTATTTATAAGATTGTAAGGACACTTTCGCAAATTTACCCCTATTTTACCATATTTCAAGGACAAGACTCGGCTCCGAGAATTTTTCTTCCCGGTTTTCTCTTTTCCCTTCCCGGTTTTCTCTTTTCCCTTTTCCTGACCCCTATTTATCAAGTTCAGGGACACCTGTGCACCCCTATTTTCTTTATTTCGAGGAATATTTTGTCCGTGGACATTGCTTGAAATTGACCCCTTTTTCCGCGATTTTGGTAACGGTCATGCGGTCCGGAAGTCACATTGAGTGACCCCACCGGGGTGAGATCGTGAATAGCTACCAGGATCATTTGGTTAGTTACAATGATCTTGATTTGGGCAGGATGCACAAGCGATAAGAATTTAATGGATCTTGCATGAATCTTCAGGGTTGAACCTTTATTGTGAATTCTGACCATGATCTTGCATGGATCTTCAGGGCCGAACCTTTATTGTGAATTCAGACCATGATCCAAATAAATTTGACATTTGTCTATTAAATACACTAGTCATGACCCATGCACTCACTTTCTTGAGTTCACTCTCAGCCTGTATGAGCTCCTCTGTCTTCTGAGCAAGCTGGATCTCCAGGGTGGTGATCCTGGAGTCCTTCTTGAGGGCTCCTGATGCTACCGTCGAGGCATGCTCCTTCAGATCAAGGAAAGACGCCTGGAGATAATGGAGATAAAGACAATCATGAACGATTCAATGAGTATTAGTTGGGATCTGACCCAGTTTCCAAAATGAGGAAGGATATTTGTTCATGTGCATATGGTTTACTGGGCCCCGTCTTAAAAAGAGTTGCCATTGATCCCAATAAATCCCAAGTCTCCCAATCAATCGCAAGTTTGCAGTCTCTTATCTCTTATGTACATAGTTGTGATTGATATCAATAGCAAATAAGTTGCGATTGATATAAACTCTTTGTAAGACGGGGCCCTGATGTGACAAGGAAAAAGTCAGCTTCCTTTGATTTTCCTTTACAATTCAATGTAAAGTTTTCCATTCACTAATTTGCGACTATATTTCTGAATATCATTTCAAACATGTTAATTATAAGTATGGATGTTATGGGAAGAGAATTGTTTCTATCAACTTTATGAACCATGTATTATGTGTTGAGAGCCAAAAAATTATTAAAGTAATATCATTTCACATCAAGGTACGTAGCACCATTCAGGCTTTCAGATTATATATACGTTTGATTCTATACGTCAAAACTTTGGGACAATCCCTTTCAGCCTGAACCAAACTCAATCTACCTCCTTTTCTGACGTGCTCTTCTGAAGTTCTTCAGTCTGCATCTTGAGCTCCTCAATCTGCTTTGTCAGTCTCCCGATTGCTTCTTCCTTCTCTTTGATCTCCTGCTCCTTCTCCGCCCTCAGCTTCTCAATTGTCCGGTCCTTGTCAATGAGGGCGTCCTCCAGACTGGACACAGCGCTGTCGGAGCTGCTCTGGTCGGCCTGGAGAGCAGTGAGGCGATCGCGAAGTGACAACGTCTGACTGTCTCGCTCCTTCAGCTGCTCTAGAAAGCTCTCGTTCTGAAGATGGAGAAAGAGTAAGGAGGTGATCAGTTGAAAAGAGCGACAATACATTCTAACTATGGAGGAACATCACAGAGACTATCGCATATATATGAATGTTCAAATACAGTGATGAAGTCATAAGACAGGCCTGTAACAAGATTAATAATGATTTAGTGCATTGAGTACAACTGTATGAGCTACTCTGGCTATATCATCATCACTTGTAACTCAACACGGAACAACAAGAAGCTATATGTTTCACATTACAGCATCAGGTACAAATGCATATTCTGTGGACTGACTTTGAAGGCTGATCTTTGACTCCAGAAAATAAATCTTCAGTAATTAAGTCCTGGTCTTGCATGCTTGCATGCTTGCTTGCTGCTTTACTGGACCAATTCCTCAACAGGTCATATTTGATGTTTTGGGTCCCGAACCATTAATAGACAGTTAGCATTAAGTACAATTAAAGGCATTCTTTCACAGAGGCAACGTCAAAAGGTGTTGAGACAGTCAAACTCACTACAATATATGCTAATTGGGGAAATACAGAGCAATGAAATACAGATTTTCTATGAAAATGTACACATACTGGGTAAGCACACTGCACAAAGCATGGATCATATGACACTACCAATTAGGAAAATGTGAAGTAAACAAGATATGATTACAAATGTATCAAAGACGATCAACAATGGGACGTTTATTACACATAGTGTACTTCTAAAAGCCACCATTCATCATACATACAACACGTCTATGTATGCAACAGTCATTAGAAGAAATTTCAAAGAGTAGAAAATCCAAAGGATTTTAAAAAGGGAAATCTTTCTGATCAAGATTCTGACTATAGTTATACATAGGTTTTAATTGCGTAAAATTATTGCATAAAATATAACCTGGTGAATGAACAGAAACACACACAAATTTTGACAATGAATACAACCACATCAATGGCAAATTTTCTATTGTACAAGAAACAGCAAGATGGCATAGTGCGTTGCCTCCATGGTTCAAATGGGTGAAATGGCAAGAAATGCAGGTAAAAATTGAAGGTAAATATACATGTATTTTCCCAATTCTCTATTACAATTTTTTTTTTTGAAAAAATCTTATGAACCAAATTTCCTACTTTAAAGGTACAATGTCCCATTTGCAGGCCAAAAAAATGAAAAAGTTAAATTCCAACTGCATTTGAAAGATAATACTAATTTAGAACTTCCCTAAAAAAGGTGGGGCTTGAAAATGTCTTTAATTGGGAAAATAATGACTATTAGTTGTCAAATCGACTTTAGGGCTATAGAGCCCAAAAGTAATAGTCTTGATTTTCAGACAATTGTACCGAATGGTCATACGTTTTATGCTGCGCAAAGACTCAATCAGTTTAATCTTGGCCACCACAAGAAGTGGGTTATTGATGTAGACAAATGCTCATGTACCCTTTACAACTCTTTTCATATATATGTTATTACCAAAGAAGAAAAAAGCCAGTCAGTCACTCAATAGTGTCTGACAGTGAAGTCTAGCAAGTAAACGGGTTTCCTTGCATAATTTGAATATGAGGACACTGCTAACGTTTAAATTTCACAGATAGGACATACATGACATATTCATAATTCCTGCAAAGTTCTACAGCATTTGAGGTTGGCTGCAAAAGGGACATAGTATCTTTAAAATCTCTAGTAAAATAGGAATTGAACTTCTTTCCTTTTACTCTGATGAGTGCAAGACGGAAAGCTTAAGTATGGCTCTTTTCAACGCGATTCTCAGAATTGAACTTTAGAAATATCACTGGCTAACATGAAATGGTGACCCCAAAATAATCATGGAAAGGGTATCATCTCTTCTTCACCTCAAGTATGCACTCAAATAGATCCATGCATATTCTGTTAATTGCATTAAGGTTTGAGATCCCTCATTGACCTTTTAACCTTCAGCTTCAAATGTTAATGAAATCAGGACAGTATTTCTTGCATGTCTTGTTTATTAAACCATTCATATTTCAATGCATACAATAAATAGGTAGCCCCACAACATAAGACTGAAGAAGTAAATCACTGCATTGAAAAAGCAATGTATAATTTTATTAAGACTTTTTAATACAAATATCAAGGCATCGTCAAATTCACTTTCCCTAGTTGACTTCAATTGGCAGACTTTCTTCAATCTGTATCACCAAACTATTCTAAAAAAATATGATGCCCTCTTTTGAAGGGACTCCATACTTCCTCTGCATTAAGAGAGAATGCTATACAATGCAAGTTTTAAAGCCCGTTTTATTCATCCACCTACAAGATGGCCCCTTTGCCCACAAATATCAGGCCAGCCAGATACCGTTTCACTAGGTGCTCATATGTATGATTTGATTGATTATTGGGCCATCCTACATTCACGTTCATCCTACAGAGCAAGACTATTTAAGATTGGCTAGTTTAGCAATTCAGACAAAGTGTGCAAATTGTTCTCATAAAACCTCTAAAAAGATGATCAGCTATAAGTGCGACTCTGTAATTTTCCTCAATCAAATGCACAACTGCACCTGTAACTATTACTGACATTTCTTACAAGAATATACTTGGAAAATGTGTAGGTATTAGAGATTGGGGATACTAAATACTAGTTAAAGTCAGAGTAAAGAATTAAAGTCAAGACTATATTTTGCCGCCGTCGCCGCTACAAATGCTATCCTTTGCAGTCAGGAAGTGGGAAATACAATCTTATGTAAATACAACTTGCAGGACAATATCTTTAATGCGGCTAGATACTGAAGATGTAAGGGTATTCAAGGAGAAGAGGAAATAACATTTGTGTGATTTCACTTTTTTCAGAATTGCAATAAAATTACAAGAAAAGACATCAGGCATTTAAACAATTTGTTTCTTTGTGGTATCGACATGTACAAGTACGACATAAAGGTCTGGAATTCTATTAATCAAGGAATTAGATTAATTTTGGTCCAAACTTTTCCCTCATGTCTTATTTTATATTGTAACTCAACTTATATTTGTAACTCAACCTGGGTTCCCCCCCCCCCCTTAAAAAAAATGTTAAAAAATAATGGCCTGAGTCTCGCTATCGATTTAAACAACATTAAATAAGAGTACTATTGCCATCCAGCGGTCATGACAAGATAAGCATAATATTCATATAAATGAAGGTTTAAACTATGGTTTTACATAAATCCCGTTATGAAATCCAGTCAACAAATTTTAACTAATTCTGATCTAACATCACTCGTCATGCCTTACGCATATGGCAAACACAACATAATGAACACGGCATAAAAGCTTGCATTGGGAAAAAAGGTTCCTGTATGTAGTACATTAACAGATTCTACTTACCGTTGTACACAATTTTGATGGGCACACTACCACTATAAAACTACTCTCGAGGAACAAATACTTCTACTGTTTTCAACAAGATTCCATGCAATAAAAGCACGTCTTCAGAACAGTGCAACTGCATCAGTTTCAGAAGTGATCATATATTTTTCCTTACGATAAAAATAAATAAATGGCAATCCTTGAAGCGGTAGACAAGCATCTACCAGCACAACTGGGTGGTGGGCATTGATTACACATTTACACTACCATCACTTAAAGGTACTATGTCCCATTTGCAGGCCAAAAAAATGAAAAAGTTAAATTCCAACTGCATTTGAAAGATAATACTAATTTAGAACTTCCCTAAAAAAGGTGGGGCTTGAAAATGTCTTCAAGTGGGAAAATAACAACTTTTAGTTGTCAAAACGACTTTAGGGCTATAGAGCCCAAAAGTAATAGTCTTGATTTTCAGACAATTGTACCAAATGGTCATACGCTTTATGCTGCGCAAAGATTCAATCAGTGTAATCTTGGCCATCACAAGAAGTGGGTTATTGATGTAGACAAATGCTCATGTACCCTTTACAACTCTTTTCATGTATGTTATTACCAAAGAAGAAAAAAGACAGTCAGTCACTCAAAAGTGTCTGACAGTAAAGTCTAGCATAATTTGAATATGAGGACACTGCTAACATTTAAAACTGCTAAAAGTTCTACAGCATTTGAGGTTGGCTGCAAAAGGGACATAGTACCTTTAACAAAATACTAGATGATGTCTAGTCTATCACTTCTTATCATGAAAACAAATGAAGTAGAAGTGAAAGATGATCGATGGTAGTGAAAAAAGTGGACGTTCTCCAAACAAAGACAGATTTGCAGGATTGAAATCAAGGCAGGGAAAAAACCAGGGTAGCTAACAAACACTTATAATAAACACAACCATTACATTAATCACACTCTGAGGGGCACTCTGATATATCTCAGGGTACTTCATGATAAAGATGGTGTTGAAGAAAGCTCACACAAGTCATATGAAAATGTTTACAATGGCGTGCCTACTACTGTAAAAACCAGAAACTTTCATGCATGAAATGTTCACAAACTTCACAAGTTGTTCAGATTCCCAAAAGCATCATGACATGAAACAAGTAAATCACAGCACAACACTCAATTTTTCGAAATAAACAAAACTTTCTTGCTGTGAAAACAGCTCCTGAACAATTGGCGAAAGTTTCATGTCACAAAAATTTCTGGTTCATGGTACTCTAGAAGGAAAGTGAAGACAAGACAGCATGATTCTGATTTTGGTAGAAGCTATACTAACAAACACCCAAGCCAAATGAACAGAGGAACATAGAATGGACACACCCCTTTGGGATGAGAGGGTGGGACATTTTGGTCACCTTCACTTGCAGAATTTTTAATTTGCTCCCCTGTAGCTCCATTCCTTTTGACAAATCAGCGTGCTTTGAAAAGTCAAAAGAAAAGAAAATCATGGATTCAATGAAAGAACAAAATATAAAAGAAATCATAGTACAGGATGAAAGAAGGCAGAAAAATATTCATACAAATTATGTTTACTGAGTTATCTTTCTGTAGCTTTTTAAAACCTGTAAGGCTGAATGATCATCATTCTTGGCATATAGGTACAAATAAATTATCTTACAGTTCTGGGGAGTAAAAATGCAATATAAAACACATCATTAACCTCTCCATAAATGATAAATATGTACGCTCTTAAAGTTGAAATGAAAGAACTAGCAAAATAGAAGGAAATAGGTTATCTCAATATACGGATACAGATTTACATCGTGTATATTAGAGTAACTACTCCGTTGTCAAATGTACATAATTACTAAGTGCACAAGATATATCAAAGAATGATAAAAAACATTTGTAGGAATTGAAAGTACCGGTACACAACAATCACTTAAAGTGCACAGATAATGGCAACTACAACTTCAATCTGTTCAATTTATCATCCTTCACAAAGACACTTGTTTCTTAAAAAGGAAATTAGTCTTGTTCAGTTGTTGTATTGCTGCAAGAACAATATCCATATGAGCTACTGATTTTACATCACTTTGCAGAACATTATATATTTTTACTGAGCTTAACTGTAATTTGAGCTTATTTCTTTTTTAAGTCAATATTTTGAACTATGAGATTAAAAAAACCATTTAATACTCAGGCGCGTAGCCAGGGGGGGGGGGGGGGGCATGTGCCCCCCTAAATTTCCAGGATCGGTTGCATTTTTTTGACCTCGATCGATTACATGTATGTGCCCCCCCCCCCCCCAAACATCAAACTCTGGCTACGTGCCTGATAATACTAGGATTGCCATGGGAAAGAATCTAGGTTCAATCAAAAGATTCACAATGAAATACAATATCAAATATATCCTCTGGCTCTGTATCTGGTAACAGGCCTGTCTGGTAGTAAAAAAAAAAAAAATGAAATAAAAAAATTCAACCAGCTTAAAAGTAAACTACTAAACATTTCTGGATAATGTCTTTTTATAATGCACAAATGACATCAAGGACAATATTCCTTAGTTCTCTGCTTATGTAGTTTTAACTTTATGAAACCATGCATGCATAAATCTCTCTAATTTACTCATCAGCCCATCAGCTCTGGCAATTAACCATGCATGTCTGTCCACAACCTCTGCTTAATTCAATACAGATTGAAGCCCATCATCTACTAGCTGACGAGGAGTGCTTCTACCATGTAAACATGGAACACCTACATGAAGGATCTACATCCTATTACATAACAGCCAATCAGCGCCTAACAAATGCAAACACAGATTCAATAGTGTGGGGCTGTCCTAATCAATAGATTTCTGTAACTATTAATGGTGTAGTGATAAGAACAGATTGGTGGAGCAAACATACTTTACTACAGAAAGAGGTGTGCATATAGTCATTTAGCGTAAATGATGGAAGATTTTTAAAAATGTGTTTTTAGGTCTTAGATGTAATAAAAACCTTCTTTTGTGAAATGCTATTGGATCTACTTGTATCTACAGCTTGTAAGATTAAGTTACAGCAACTACATTGAATAAGAGATCTGTCACTCAAATAAAATGTTGGTCAAAACACTTTGGTGACCATCAATTTCATTTTGAATAACACATTAGTGAAAAATACTGATGTTATCAATTGATGGTTATTGGCTAATGTTTTTCCGCCACTGCACTTTTACAAAAGATTTTCCTCATTTCGACCCATTAAATTTTGCTCAATCTAAGTTACAGATCAAACATTTATCAAAACCTACGAAAAAGCAGACGTGCAGGTTTGAAATATGAGCTCCCTATAAGGTCTCAGGAAGATATCGTTTACTCTATGGATATATCGGATCACAATATGAAATGAGGACTACTTCTATCCCTCTCTGACTTTTCAAAGTCTTGTTCACACATGACAGATAAAACGGTCTTTAAAAAAAAAAACCTTTACAAAATGAAATTACATGACCATATAGCGTGATCTCTATAAAGTAACATAAGGATTACAGAGTACACCAACGAACCTTTGATGCATGTAGCTACATTTTTCACCCCACTTTCCTTGTGTTACATCTAAAAATGTTTTCATTTTGTTCATTTTGTTGCAACATTTTTCGTTTTTTACTGTTTAATTGTACCATATGAGTGAATGAGGTTTAAGCCTGTGTCAACACATCAATCCATCCTCAAGTAAAAGGGGATTCTCCTCCAAACGTCCTCCATGATTTCGTATTCATAAAAGATTCATCATCCTACTCTAGCCGGCATGAGATTCTAACACTCTTCCCACATAGCCGGGATAAGATTTCAACGTTGAAAGAAGAAAAGCATTTCCTCACATCTAATGCGCCACCATGCAGCCACTGCTTACCAACTAAGTTGTGTCTCTCATGGGTAAATTAAGGAATATTTTAGATGTGCATTCTCATTTACGTCTCACTTCTTTATGCTCTTTAGCCCTTCCCCTAGCCAATTTATTGAGGATACTGAACCTATCTTGTTAATAATTTGAAGCATTTGCATGAACAACCTTGATTCAAATGAACTGCAAATACATTTGGTAAGGAACACAAGTAAAAATTGAAGGAAATGTATCTTCCCAATTTTTAATTACAAGTTTTGTCATGAAAAAGATTTTCTACTTTAAGATACTAGCTATCAATTGAAATGAACGAGGAGAATGTGTGGGAGATTATTTTAAAGAAGAAATGCAGCTTTCAGTTTAAAAAACGGAAAGTTGATTAATGTGTAATGGTGTCTTTGCAATTTATTGCTTACATATTTTACCTACGGTATAAGAATGGTCGTCTGGGCAATCTGATAACGACTTAGAATTTTTTTTTTTTTTTTTAAATAGCTTTCTTTTCTACCCCACTATGATATTTGGGACTAACTGAAAATAGATGCCATAATCTCAGAAATTAAGTTAAGATCATTAAAAACTCTTACCTTTCGTTGGAGTGCCACTATCTTTCGTTCTTTGAGTTCATTCATCTCTCGAAGCTCATCAGCTTCTGAAGACTGCTTGGATTTGTCAGTGTTAATGGTTGTCATGACAACCTCCTGTTTGTTTAGTTGGTGCTCCTTGTCTTCCAACCGAAATCTTAGGGCCTCCACCTGCATGGAGTCAAAATGAAGAGTTCAAAAATCGATTTCAATTTGCTAATGTATAATGTAGACATGATCTATAGATCTACATGTATGTAGACAATGACAATGCCAATGCCGAAGTATCATACCTTCTCACCACACAAAGTAATGACAGAATAAAACAACTAGATGTACATAAAATTTAGACTATCATTGTAAAGTCCAAATAATAGATAAAATTTTGAAGAAAAGACATCACCTTTACAATCATTTTTTTATGTGTAAAAATGACAAGAAGCCTGATGGCTGCAAAAGTAAATCCTTGGAATCATGAAATACCAAAAGTTAGTCAAAAGTTTCATGTCCCGATGTTTTGCAAAATGTATTCTTCACATTCCTTTCACAATTACAGATGCCATTCTGTTCCCCCATCCTAGGCTAACGGCCTGGGCCCTGTCTTTAAAGAGTTGATATCAATCGCAACTATGTACATAAGAGATAGAAGACTGCAAACTTGCGATTGATATGGATCAATCGCAACTCTTTGTAAGACAGGGCCCATGGCTACCCAGTTTCCTACATGGTGGATCTCTCTGAGAGCACTCACATCGGCTTGCAGGATACTAGAGTGTTGTTCTTTGGCAGCTAATGATTCCTTGAGCAGATTAATATGAGCCTGTTGATCTCGCTCTTTGTGTTTCATTGCCTCAAACTTGGTCAGGAGGGCCTGCAGCTCTGCTACCTTAAGGCTCAGCTTTCCTTTCAGTTGGTCAAGCTATATCATGAGAGAAATATAAAGGCATGTATTAAACTAGATGAATGAAGTGGAATCTGTTGAAAAGTGAAAGCTGTTGAGGTACTTGTTATATCAATTTATTCACACTTATAAATCTTTTTAGCAGACTAGTCTATCCATCTATGAGGTACTTGTTATATTAATTTATTCAGACTCTCAAATCTTACTTAGCAGATTATATCTCAGAACATGGTGAAACTTAGGCAATGATTTTCTAGTACAAAATGATGCCTGTGATAATAATAAGGACAAAGCATATTCTAAACTCTAAAATTAAATATTAAAATATAAATATCCTGGCATACTGTTGCCTTAAAGCAAATGTTATACTCTAAAAATAAAAATATAAATGTCTTAGTATACATTTGCCTTTAGTAATATTGTATACATATACTTTAGTGAATATATAAATATACATTTGCATTTTTTTGTGTAGGTATGAAATTAAATATGAAAGCACGCTATAAACCTTGATCTTTAATCTTGTGCTGCTGTCATCTGTCTGTCCCGCTGTGCCGTTTGACCTTGATCCAACATTGTCATCACGATTCTCCTGTAAACAGGTAATTGAAAGCACACAAGTCCATTAGTGTCAATGCCACATCATCATTATCCCTTAATGCTAAAAAGGATGATGATTGGCAAAGGAAATTGTTGTGTCTACTTCACAAAAACAACATTTACAATAGCCCATTTCCATGAACGAGAGAAAATAAAGGTATACTCCTTTCATATCTTTGGTAGATATCAATGTGGGGTTGTTTTTTTGCTCTTTTTTTAATTTCTATCAAATTCAAGTTTTTATGGTATTATAAATACATCCTTTATGGATTACAGATTTAACAAATCCTCCATGTTCCTTTTTAAGTCATCCTGCATATAAGTAACCTATTTAGTCCATTAGTGTCAATGCCACATCATCATTATCCCTTAATGCTAAAAAGGATGATGATTGGCAAAGGAAATTGTTGTGTCTACTTCACAAAAACAACATTTACAATAGCCCATTTCCATGAACGAGAGAAAATAAAGGTATACTCCTTTCATATCTTTGGTAGATATCAATGTGGGGTTGTTTTTTTGCTCTTTTTTTATTTTCTTTCAAATTCAAGTTTTTATGGTATTATAAATACAGCCATTATGGATTACAGATTTAACAAATCCTCCATGTTCCTTTTTAAGTCATCCTGCATATAAGTAACCCATTTATTAAAAAAAAAACTTCAATAAGTTTTAGAATGAATAATTCATTCATATGTTAAGTGCTCAATTTGATTTGAATGATATTATTTGAAAGATGAAAAATTCAGAAAAAACGAAAGCTATAATTTTCTTACAACCATTTAAATTTTATTGAAGAATACATCTTAAGAACTATAGATGATAATGAGGACACATGCGTAGCAAGATGATATGCAAGTGTACATGTACCTAATACATGTGGATGAGACAAATCCGTGCTTTTACACCAATGTCCTTCCAGGAATCACAACAGATTTAAGTAGCTCGATAGCTCGATATAAATTGCTACCTGTCTTCAATTCATAATTTGTGCACTTACTGAAGCATTCAATGCACCCATGTCTCAAACCCACAACACATCTGGCAGTTTGATATCTACTCTAGATGTATACTTTGATCATTTTTTATATCACTTTTTCTTTATTTCTCTCTCTCTCTTTCTCTCACTCTCTTTCTCTCACTCTCTCTCTCTCTCATTATCTCTCTCATTATCTCTCTCTCTCTTTGTATCTGTCTGTCTGTCTGTTTCTCTCTCTCTCTCTCTATTTCTTTCTCTCTCTCTCTCTCTCTCTCTCTCTCTCTCTCTCTCTTTCTCTTTCTCTCTCCCATCGTTGCTCTTTAATCATTTATCAATGCATTATCTTCTGTATTGTCTAATCATCTCCCCTTTTCTCTATCTCTTTCTTGCTCTTTCGGCTTTCAAGTCTTCTCTTTCATCCTCGACCTTCTCCATTTATCGTCTGAGAAGTCCCCAGAGAAGTTGCCTCCCATAAAAGATGCACACAAAAGGGCACTTTAAAATCAGCTTGCTTTAGTGCATCCTGGGTGTAATAACTGAATTATGCGGACGACACATTATATTTCTTCTCAATGCCTGAGGCCACTTGAAACTCCACACGGTGGAGATTGCTCAGGCACCTTTCCACAGGCTTCATATCATGTGCTGCCACATATGTTTGAATTACTAATGGAGTAATTTTCTGAAGACTCTACCCCTGGAAAGAGAGCATTTGACATTTCTTAATAGGAAATATAACGAGAGAAATGGCTCGAGGATATAGAACTGAAAAGCAATAAGCATATTTTACCTAAATACTGTATCATGTACAAGTAGGTACAATTTGCCTATTACCAAAGTTGATGATGACGCATCTATCAGACAGTTTTTGGGCATCACCTACTCATTCGCATCTTATCCTAGTTTCTAGACACCATCAAATCAATCGTTACCAAATCTAGTTTATAAACACCATAAACTCGATTGCAACAAGCCTAGAATTTATACACCATCAACTCAACTGAAAACCAATCACGTTTATTGTTATATATCACCGACTGAACTACACCTCATAGTTTTCAGACAACATCAACTTAGACACTGTCAACTTAATTTCCACCAAACATAGAGAAGCTTACATTCATGAAACTGCCCATCTCCTTGTCCCTCTGCTCCAGGAGCTTCTGAAGCTTGATGACCCTCGTCTCTGATTCCACCACCTTGGATCGCATCCTGTCCATGTCCTCCTGGTCTCCTTCCAGCTTCTTGGTGTTTAACCCTTTACTCTGGAGCATCTCCAGCAGCTTCTTGATGCTTTCGTCCCTGGCCGTCAGAGTCTGCTTCTGGGTCTCGATCCTCAGCTCCATCTCTTCCAGGGTCTTGCGGAGGAGGAACACCTCCCTGGAGACCCTGTCCCTCTCTGTCCTAAGACTGTCCACCTCATGCTGCAGGTGGCCGACTGTCCCCTGTGAGGAGGAGCCACCGTTTGGAACGTCCCCATTGGGCGAGTGTCGTAGGTTGTGTTCCCGATGCTGCAGTTGCTCCTTCAGCTCCCTTATTGTCCGTAGGAAATGCTAGGGTGAAACAATAACAAAGAAAGACATTAAATTTTTTGTCACCTACACTGTTATTTCAAATATTTTCAAGTGTGTGTATAATATAGAATATGTAGCACCATACAATGTACATGTAGGTCTATCTGTAAAACCTCACATATTAGTACAACATTTGAACAACATGTAACCTGCTAAACAAAACTAGCACTTTTTCTCTCAAAGTTGACGTAAAGAAGACTGTAAATTTGAGACAGACATATTACAATATACACATACTTTAGGCGCTATACATTTCTTTTGTACATACATGTAAATCTGCAGAGAATATATTTTTTTCAATAAATCATGAAAAGCTCAAATTATATCTCTGAATCCTCAGGGAATGATACATTAAAGGCGTGCTAATTGTCTCAGATGTCATTCAAGATGACTGAAAGTAATGAGATAGCCTCCTGCATTATTGAGCTGTGGATAGCAGAAAGCATTCATAGTCTCCAAATACAGACTCTTGACTAAAAAAGAACATACATCATACTGCTGATAAAATTGTCATTAGGGAGATATATGCGCATATATCTTCAGGGCAAAATCATTTACAGAGTCAAGGAAGGATACAAGTGCTATGTATAGTTCTTTGCTCAAGCTAATTTGCTTTCCACAAGAGAATTCCAATTAAGTTAGTACTTAAAGACTAATCTGATAATTATACATCTCGAAGACTCTACATGCAATAAAGGAGATAGACGCAGTATCGACTCTTGCTTTGCTGTATGTAGGTAATTGATTTGGCAAATGAGTAGCTGGCAAGAACAGTCACTTTTTTCCAAGAAACCTCCACATTGTGAATGATTGCATAATCACAGTTATTTTTAATACCAACTAATAGCATACGAGCATTAATGTAATGAGTATTCTTGTGTATTAAACAATATCGCAAGTGAATACATGATCCCTACCAAATCACAATCATCCCTTAACTCATGTATGCTTTTTTAAATAAATAGATTGAAATCCTTTCGTAACTAGCCACAGCAAATCTTTCTCTCATTCACGAACTTTTATTGATATTTCAAGTTTACAGAAGTTAAACAGAAAATTTAGAGAAACAATTTCTTAATGCCAATTGCCAACTTACATTTCTAAAAATCCCAATTTATTCTTTCATCATACATAATTTACATCTCCCTATACTAAATAGGTGTAGAGGAGACTGGTAGGAAGACCGCACAGAGAGCAAGATAAGGAGGGGGGGGGGTAATAAAGCAAGACAAGACAGAGTGATGAGAGATAAATTTGATTTGAAATGAAATGCTAAAGGTTACTAATTAAAAACCTGCAGTCAATAGAAGCACGCAGTGGGCAAGGTGATGATGGCACAGTGAGTGTTGTGACATTGGATCGTAGTAGGGATGATGATGATGATGATGGTGCACGGTGCAACCTTATACCCAGGGGCATGCCGTGCTCTTTACCCAATGTGTTATGTGGTTGATACCTGTATCACTTATAGATAGACATGCCACTTAAATCCAATATCAAAATATCAAAGTGATACTGGTTACTATGGTAACTACATGTAAGTATCTATTCAGTGAAAAATCCTACGTGTAACATTTTATTCATTATTAACAAAATTGTATCTTTAATTCCAGCTTTTTTTAATGAGAAAAAAGGATGGATGAAAATTATAAGAAACATTACATTTTAATTTAAAGGGACTTTGTAACATTGTTCAGATGAGAGATAGTGGTGCTAAGGTAGTGACTTCAATGCTAGATGTACAATTAAAGATAATCTGAAAATTTGAGCGAAAACGGACCATTATTCATGGTACAAATTGGGAAAAACTGATCCGATCGATTCCTTAATTCTCCCAACTATATTATTACAATTTAATTACATTTTAAGTGAATGGAAATCTCACGAAGCAATAAAATGGCTCTACATTCCATTCCAGACATTTAAGTGTTGACAGATTTTTTATAGCCTGTTTTTATGTCTTTTTTTCATGGAAAAACGGTTGGGAAAATTCAAAAATGGTTGGGAGAATTTAGATTCAAAAGCGCCGCACATCGACGCCCGTTCGAAAACCCGTTGAACTTTGTTAAAAATCTTCATATTGCATGAATTAATGTCGGATTTGGGGCATCGTAGTTGGATAATCCATACATACAAATATAATTTTACATGCTTTGCATCCTGATTCAACAGATTTGTGAAATCAACCATCACAATGTTACTAAGTACCTTTAATACATTATTATATGTCATTCTCATTCATGCTTAAACTGAAATTCTGGATAAATGTAAATTCTTAAAATGTAAGATTCTGAATGGATTAAAACCCTTTGCCTTTTTAGTAAGCATGAAAACTTCTTCCTTATCATACAACATACTTGTCCTCATTTCTAACCAGGAATTCCTCCACTGCTGCGACTTTTTGACCCCTCGCAGAAGTACACATCTTGAAAAATCGCAAACTGGTTATGTTGTTCATGTGCCGCGATCAATGAGAAATGAAACCAAGCCTGTATCATTTGATATGCATGACCTCCTAAATGGGTTTCAGTCTAGAGCTAGCTAGCTGCTGGCTCCCTGGTTAGCTATACTCTGCTATGGCAGGACTATGAGATGGGTGAGCATAGCCTAATGAAATTCCTGTATTGATCTGGATATGTGGCGTTGAGCAGTCTTATTGATCCTCCTATTTCTGGCTAATCCTGCGCAATGGTGAAGGACATAGTCCCCTATCACTCAACCTGCATACATACGATCAGCATTACAACAGTGCTATGTGCCAAGTGATATGCACTTCAGAGACAAGTACCAGGAAAGGATCGAGTCATGAATGGTTTGTAACCGTGCTTCAGGTTCATTTATGGCATGGGCAAGAAGACCTAAACTTTAAAGAAATGTCTCTTGACCAGCAGGATGCAAATTATAATATACAATTTGATAGGAACATACATGTACCTATATTAACTGTTTCCTAAAGAATCTGCAACTATATACTTAAGCCTAAACCCAGGTCATGCACTATTGCGTCGAACCATATATACAAGCAAGTGGACCAGTTGGAGAAAAAAAACTAATAATTAATCTATAGTCAGGTCATCTTTAAGCTTCAAAATTCCTTCAGTAAAGGGATACATGTACAGTCAAACCTCCTTTAGCAACCACTTGTATATACATTAGTAGAAAGACCACCTGTCTATAAAGTCCAAATAATTTGTTTCCCTTTCATATGGCTTCTCATTGAAACCTGTCTTAAAGGAACCTGTTCATACTGACCACCTGCCTGTAAAGGGTACTTTTCATGTTTCCCTTGAGCGGTCTTTATATACAGGTTTCACTTTATTAACCTCTGGGTATTGCAATGATATGATTTAAATCCATTCTAGCTCTCAACAGATGAAATAATAACAACATTTGATGAAACATAAATCTGTTACTTATGTCATTCTGGCAATAGAAATGGAGAGTATATGAAGTAAAGTCCAGAATACCACCTCTATTGGGATATGAATACATGTGGATGTGGTACAGGACATTTGCTAGCATTACAGGTAATCTTGTTTACCACTTAAGGAGTCGATATTGCATCGAATCATCAGTAATATTCTAAATGTACTTATGTAACTTAGTTACACATATAATGGAATGGATTAAAACAAATTGATACAAATTAGAATATTTAGATAAATTGAGTTGTAAAACTCTCATATAATGATCTCATAAAGTGTAGGTATCATTTTTCATGGGATAATTTTGAATTTGATTTTGAAATGTGAATGACTTTTTTAATTTCTTTCCCCCATGAACAGTCTAATATTTCATTTTTATATCTTATCTTTTCTTGTAACCCACGTTCATTCAGACTCATTTCATAATTTCTTTCCCTTTCAAATACATCAGGCTCGATTTATTCAACACATATTCTATCCTGCTTGCAATTTATCTATGCTGTGAAAACAGCTTGTGCCCATAACCAAAACAGAAATTGTGATGCATGGATCCACTAAAGTTCATTTCCTCAACAGTAAATCACTGCATTACCCAGCTCCTATCACGGTTCACTGGCACACATGTGACGTAATGGATAGAGGTGCCTAAGTACCGCTGTATATCTCAGAAACCTATTGGCCACGTTCATCAATAATTTGTGCTCTTATCCCCAAAAATGTCAATTACATGTCGGAGCATGGTCCATGACTACCTTGCTTCACAAACACATATACCTGATGTGCATGGGAAATGGGAAAAGGATGTGTACTGCTGGCAACGTGTACAGAAATCTGATGCACCCTTCCCTCCATTTGCCAATTGCAAACACGAAGCTCTTAAGTTAAATACTTTCATGGGCTTTTACCCACAAAATGAAAACAGATACTTAATTGAGAATAGGAGGATCCCTGACTCCATGGACTTTCTTTTTAATCAAATTCAAGTAATGTTGCTCTTAACGTTTGGCTTCACAGACAACAAAAAAAGAAACTAAACAGTAGATTTATAAATAACATCTATAAAGGCAATTATTCACTCTTTTCAGTAATACTGCTAAACTGTCGTCATGCAGTGGCTCCACTTTAAAAATCTTATCAACAACAGAATGCTAACAACACTGCAGTTGCAGCAGTTACAATATGACCTATAATAATTACTCTCCACATCTCAGCCATCTCTCCTAATCCATCTGTCTCCATCTTTCCTTCCTCTCCTTCTCTTTGATATTCCCTTCTAATACTTCATATTTCCTGAAATGAAGATATGTGAATCTATGTACACTGTACATACATATTTGAAATATTACCATGTAGTCTTTAATATGCATTTAATTTGCTATACCTCAGCTCCTCCCCCCCCCCCATTCTCTCTTTCTAAAAACACACACATATGCTCTTTCTCTCTCTCCATCTCTCAGTGACCCTTCCCTTTCTTCTCTCTATAAACAATAATAGAGAAATCAGACATGGCGATATCAGATCAAATATATGCAAACGCACATCAATATCAAGACT